TAAATACTATTACAATGAATAATGATTTATAAAGAGAGAAAAATGATTTCTCCTCCTTATTGAGTTTTTGTTAATGATACAATGTGTTGAGTCAAATTTTCATTTTTTTTTTGTAATATTTATGGATAGTAAAATTGATAGAATATTATAAAAATAACTTTATTTTAGTTGATCTTTTTAAAACTAAGAAAGCAATCATTTTCTTTTCTAGTTTTTTCATTATCACTATCAATATTATAACTCCAATATTATAACTCTGACATCTTTGTTAATGTGTGTTTATTTTTGAAATTGCAACATAAATTTTGAAGTAAAAAGGCATAAATGATGTTTTTCACTATCAAACCTTAGATTGTGCAATATATACAACTTTAAAGATAAACAATCCCTTAATTTTTGTCTTAATTTCTCATCGTAATAGCTCTTTTCTCACTCAAAATATATTATATTGACTATCTTTATCTTTTCTTTACTTGATTATGATATGTTTAGCATTTTTTTTAACATAAAAATCTCAATGATGAAAATGATAGTAATATGAAGTGTGCATAAAACAATTTATAAAGGAATGACGGATAGATGTATAAATTCTCTCTCTTTTTTTCACGGAAGAAAAAGTTGAGAAACCAACTAACCGTTTTATAGGTTTAATGCACCTGCAGATGGATACTAAATGTTTTTGTCAGGGGATAGGTGTCACTCCTCTCTCTTTTTTGTTTGTGCATTTTGTTTTCTATTATTATTATTTTTATTATTGTGATAAAATGATATTTATAAATCTCATTTTCTTTTTTAGTTTTATGTGCTTCCAAATAAATAAGAATGGCTTCTTCCTTTGAAATTATTGCAGGTATACAGCATTACAACAATCATTCTCTTAGATTGAGATTTTTATGTATAGGTGGATATAACAAAAAAAATATTTGTTTTTTATTGGTTAAAAAATTTTTAGAGTCATCACCTAGTGTTTTTGTTTCTAGAAACACTAATCAATCTTCAAAGTTCAAATAAGGAGACATATTATGTATAGAGAGGACAAGATCACCTCTAGCACACCCTATATAAGATAAGTTGTATTGTTTATGTATATGATTATTAAGATATATTTGTATTTATCTAACCATTAGTCTATTTATTGATTAAAGTTGATCCACATTAATAAAGTAAATCATGGCTTTATAGGTCAAATCTAGTTATTCTAAAGTTGGAACATATATTTTAATACCAAGAATATATTTTACATATAAATTCATAATCCTTGGCATTAAAATAAACAAACTGATTTTTTGGATGTTTTTGAAATGTAAGTCGGGTTCTCATAAATTATATAATCTTGTTATTAAATCTAAAAATATATGTAAAGATATAAAATTATTTTTTGAATTTTTTGTTGGTATTTTCAAGGAAGGCTAAATCATGAATTGTATTATTTATTTATTTATTTACTTTAGAGACTTGACCATATACAATAAAAATATTTAAATTCATTTTTTAAAATAAAAATTTGTTGTTTTTATGAAAGGAAACATGTTTATTCAAAAATTAATAAAAATATTTAATTAATTTTTTTTTTATGTTTTTGAAATATAGATCAGGTTCTAATAGAAAAAATGCATGTAAAGATAAAAAAAAAAAACTATTTTGAATTTTTTTTTTGGTATTTTCAATTAATGCTAAATCATGAATTGTATTATTATTATTATTTACTTGAAAGACTCAGTCATATACAATAAAAATATTTAAATGTATTTTTTTAATAAAACTTTGTTGTTTTTATGAAAGGAAAGATATTTATTTAACACTGGAAAACACCTTACATATAAGTTATAATTCTAAATATTAAATAATAAAAAGTAAAATATAATAGACATAAAAAAATATTGCAAATTAAATCCCTTGAAGGCATGAAATTGAATTAATTTAAAAAAACATGAGTTATGTTCGGAAAATATTAAAAAGAAAATGGAACAATGTTGAAAAAGAATCAGTAGGGTGTGTGGCGTGTTAGCCAAACACGTCCTCAACTAAAAATCATAGACTTAAAAGTTAAATTAAAACCGTGTTTGACGAACACATCTAAGTGGAATAAACTTTCCAGTGCAGGCCTAAATACCAAAAAATATGACCCATTCTTGGATTTACAAGAACTAAAATGAAGGAAATTTTTGTTTGAATCTTGCCAAAAAAATATGAAAAACTAGCAAAGAATCCAGAAACTAAAAAGGAAATCTTGCCAAAAAAATATAAAAAACTAGCAAAGAATCCAGAAACTAAATTACAAATTTAGCTCAAATCATATCCAATCAAAGGCATAGAAACACAAAGTATGAAATGTTAAAGTATAATGATACATTGAATAAGAAAAATAAACCAAGAATGCTTTGAAATCAAACCCAACAATTAAAAACAAAAACTCAAGCATACAAACTTATAATGATTGATTGATCCATGATAAGTAATTAATGGACAAAACAATGGAAGAGAACATTATAAATAGGTCTAAGATTTGATCGAAGTACATAAAGCAGACTAAAATAGTCATTTATGAGATATTAAATTCAACAGCTATGAACATTTAAACCTAAAACCTAGAAAAACCTAGGAAATGCAAAAACCCAGAAACCGAGTTAAAAAAACTCCAAAAGCAAACCTTAAACTAATCAAAATTACTTTATATGTGTTTGTATTGACCTACTAAAACTCTTATTAACATAAAAGAAAGAAAATGAAAAGATAAAACAAAGATTCAGCCATACAATCCATAAACAATTCAAAAGGCATATCCTTAACTATAAACATTGTTTTATTGATTCTAGCATCTATTATTAACTGACATTATCATGAACTTATCTTCATCAACTCAACATTTCATCAAGAACAACACATAGTCACATATTGTTAAGAAACAAAAGGAATCAAAATAGATTTGTCCATTAAATTAGACATCTAAACATGTTGAAATGACTGTTAAACAACATTAATAATATCAAATTAATTTCAATCCTAAAACTACAAACTATACATTAAATTCTATCTTAAACATGCATATGCATATTAGTTCAAACATGAGTAAATGCATTTAAACACAAGCACTAGCAACTAAAACATAATGTATGAATAATAAATAATCATACAAAAGTTTAAAAGGCATTAAAAAAAAAGATAATGTGACGATTAAGCTACAACCTCTTGTCAAAGGTAGGTGTATACCTGTAAATGCAATGCTTTTTTTATCCCTCTTGTCCTCTTTTTTTATAGTTTATTGCTTCTTCTTCCTTAGTTTCAAGCTTTTTTTATCCTTGATTTTCTATGCGTTTTCTTTTCCTTTATTTTGAACAATATTTCTTTGGAGTTTTTCTGAATAACTCAAGAACTTCTTTCAAATTTTTCTTTGTCTTTCCTTTCTATTTTATCTATGATTTTATTTTATATTTATCCTCTTTATTTTCTCTCTATTTTTTTTATCGATTATTATAGAACATCTACTCTTTTATAAGCAAACCAAAATAGGTAGTTGCAAAAAAATGGTGGTTTTGCTAGGAGGTTTTGTGAAATATTTTTATTCTTTTTCTTTCAAAACCTGTTTAGTCTCTTTTTTTTTCTTTTTTTCTTAAATTGAATCCAAGCATGAGGAAAACTTTAAAGTCTTTTCTTTCATGGGTGAATTTGTTCTTCAATCATAGCTGATTAGGTTAGGTATTTTATAAAGATTATTATGGAGATTAAGATATAAACATATCATTTATAAACTGGAATCTTGTAGAAAGGATATAGATCTACCACTAGGAACAAACCACTCTTTATTTAGAGGTCTGGAACTCCACATTCATTGATTGAAAGGTTAAAGCTCGATCATCTTGAATCTGCAAATGCAGAGGAACTTACTATGGATAAGATGTTGTCAAGTTCATCGTGTCGAATGAGGTACAAACATTTGATAAGGATACTTTATCCTTATAGCTGAAATTTTTCTCATTCAATTAGTCCTGATTAAAGCTTTTAAGATGATCGAAAATGACACTTTTATTTATTTTAAAATGATCTCTTAATCAACCTTTTTGGTGGAAGAACAAGAAGGTATAATGACTAAATGAAATATCATTCATTTTCTAATGACATGTTATTTAACTAAATCTTAAAAATTAGAGTTTTCAAATAGATTTTGGAAAATTTCAATGCAGTCTCTTTTCTTCTAATTTTAGTATATGCTCCTTTAATTAACCCAAAAACTTTTTATTTTTTTTCAATTGCATCCTAGAAACATTGATTAAGATCCTTTAATTTACATGTCTTTTTCAAATCAGTTATTGATTTCTAGATTATGCAATTTAACTTCTATTTCTCATCAAACTTTCATTTTAACTCAAATTGACCCTCACTTCGATGAATTTTAGTTCTCGTATTTCTGCACTTTTTGTACACTAGTCCTTGGCTGAAGTTTCACAAATAACTCCTTAATTATCCTTAAAACTTTAAATTTCTAAAATATGGTTTCGGCCGGCTCGAACAACCGAAGAAATTTTGATATCTAAAGGTTTGCACGCTAGATGAGTTTTTCTTTTATGATGTTCTGAAAGTCGTTGATCTAACGGACATCATTTCAGGTGATTAGGAACAGTACGAATTAGTCATCAACGCACCTATGGTACACATTGATGATGTGGATAGGACACATATTTTCATCCTTGAATATCCTGAAGCAAAAGAGAGATATATTTGTTCTTCAGACATAATAACAATTGAAGAGATGTCTAAATTTCTTGCTGCCAGGTACCAACATTAGAGTGCGTAATTTCTGTTCCTTTCTGCAAAATTCTTCAGTTAATGTTCAAAATTGAAAGTTAACCTAGTGTTCATGTTTCTTTTTGGGCAGATATTTAAAGGATGTTGAGGGCTTTAGAATCCCTGGTGTATCTAAAACTACTGGATTCTGGTTTCAAATGGACTTGACGAAAAGTTTGATGGAGCCATTCAATGCTGCAAAGAAATGGGCTTTCTCTAGTTCAATTTAGGACAAATTACTCATGGTAACTGGGTTGGAATAGAACTAGAACAGTGGTAACTCCTGTCATGGATTGTATTTGCACTCGTGTTTCTGTAATTGTTGTATCAGAATGTGAGAGTGCAGAATTATTCTTATTTCGCTTTTATAGTTTAAAGGTTTGCAGTGAATACAGGAATAAACTGCAGCGTAAGAGGTAACGACTAATGCAAATTACTTTGCTTCCGGTTCTCCGTTTGACAGATGGTCAGCCATCTCATGCCGAAATGGTTGTCTAGACACTCAGCTGCGCAATTACAGTTGTGCCTGTTCTTGAAGTTGTTCCTGTTCAACATGTGATGAAGGATGGTTAGAATCACATCTCAGAAAATAAAAGTACCTACCCAGATACTTGTTTCATTGCTTGGTATCCAAGATGATCGACTCAATCTCCGCATCTTATGAATCAAATCAATGCCTGTTTGCTGTTATTTGTTCATCAACTCTTTGGTGCTTCCAAACTTGAGTTGATTGATTTCTCAATGGGGAAAGAAAAAAAAAACTTAAAATTTTATGGCATCACTCCACAACTCCCGGGAAATCCTTCCTGCCCCTCATCGAAAACAACTTCCAGTGCAAGGAAGTTCAGAAATGAATCGAGTATGGAGGATTCAAATTAAACAAAGTCCGGAAGCAACCAAGATTACGCTCACCTCTGAAACAAAGAAGGCATGGAACCCATACGGAACTCTGTGTGGTAACTCAACAACTGCAACAGGATTGGCTGACATTGTTTTTGCATCAATTACATTCACTGATGATTTTCTGCATATTCAAGATGGAAAGTTAATTTCTAAATAAACCATGAATTAAGCTGAAACCTTAAATGAACCTGCAAACCACCTCGTCCTTAATGTCCCTCAGAAAGAGTAACAGAAACAGAAAAGTCAAAGGGAAAGTGAAAGCAAGATCTTCCTTGGTGGAGCAGTCAAACCCACTTATTAAGTTGGATCCTTGGATGGAATTAAAAAGATAAAGCAATAATCGTTGACAGATTTACAAATTAAGGTAAGAAGGAAGCTTTAATTAAAAAGGGAAGCAATTACCCAGTATTTTCATCATGTGCAAAGAATATCAGGTAGCCATCATCTTCCTCGGAAGTGGTGCCTGGCTCACGAGGGATAAAGACAGCCTCTGAACCAAATCTACCAGGACCTCGATTTTCCTTACCAAAAAAACAAAACAAAGAAAAATTTGATCCAAACGGAAAATAAATACAAGAACTCTTGATCCTGAAATTGTATATGCTATTTCCATTTTGACAATCCCTGTGACCTTTGCAATGCTGTCCAGAAGGGTTCCGTACACATATCTTTGTTTCCTGAATTCACGCAAGACAATCATTGGATAAAAATGATAGGAAAAGGACTTCATTCACTCAACACCACATGTAAAATATGAAACAGAAAAATATACTCAAACCAAAGAACAGCACTTCATTGACACAAATGCCGCACAGAGTAGATGTAAACCTGCCAGTGTAACTCTCATTCACCCTGGGAAAATCAACAGCAGATTCTGATAGTTTCTTTTGTGAAGCTACACCAGTTTTCATATTGAATCTCATCTCATACCTGCTCAGAAAGAAAAAAAGGCCATCATAAACACTTAAAAATCAAACTCCTAAAAAATTCACAGCAATGTGAAATTCTCCTACAGTTCATTTGTGAAATTCTCGAGCTTTTCTTTGACAGCCCCGTTAACCATGTCCAAATCTGGATTTTGAAGGCGGCAAGTGATTAAAACAATTTCGTCGTCCTCCTCCCAGGCATTGGCTAGCATAAGCCAGCAAATAAAGTTAGAACGGACTCATGAAGACAAGAAAAAATCGAGCGTCTTTTTCATAAGCCAGAAGAAGCCTTTGTATATTTGAAATTCCACTAATATATGTCAGCGACCTATGACAATGGATAATTTCACTTCGAAAAATAAATTCACCTTTTTCACAGTACATATATCAGAAGAGAAGCCAGACTATAAATTTAGGAACATGTATCTGACATCCCAAAGACTTTTCAAGGTTAAAGAGGAACCTAAAAGACATTCACTGCAGTTTTTATATACTTGTGTACATCGCTTCAACTTATTAATTTATGTCTTCTAAATTTGATTGTCAACATTACGCATGTTAAGGATCCCTCTATGTTGATTGAATTTAATTGACAAGAAGATCTGGCTAGGTAGCCCCAGCAAATCAGACAATGAAGCTTGATGTAAGCTAAAGACACAAATGATATTCCTAGCCAGTGATAAAAACCAGGTAAAGCACAATAACCTCAAGACTTGCTGGCTAAGTGTGTTCATATTACATATTTATCTAAGTGTGTTCATATTACATATTTATCAACACAGGAGGCTAATGTTTTTGGAATTTAAAACATGTGAAAGAAAGGAGCTCACCATTGTGGAATATGAAGCAATTTGGAAGTTCAAACCATTTGATTAGGAGGTCATCCTTAGCATATCGTGGAAGGACACCAAAACGAGCTTTTTTTGTTGCATCAAATGTGAATATGAACTTCTTATCTTTCACCATTTCCTGAAAAGTTGTCAAGGAAAATATTTAAGGCTCATTGTTTCTTTACATTCCATACCGTGAATGAAATCTAGTACAAAAACTCAACTAAAGTGACTTTTCATGCAAGTTACATGAGGATGCTTTTAGCTGTCCAGAAAGTTCTGTTGGAATTAAAATCTGGGAGAAAGTGAAAACCAAACCGACGGTAAAGGAAACTGGTATTCTTGCATATTTGGTCGAGAACTTGGAATAAAAGTTCGCAGAAAAAAACCATAACTTTCTTATGGTTGGACGAAATTTGAGAGGCATTTTATAATTAACCCATGCATAGCATTATGCAGTGCTTTTGCTTAGACTAGGTTACAATTAACAGAAACTATCACATGGAACTTGACTTGTTCAGTTTTTTTCCTGAAATTACTGGCCTGATATTCTTTCTATTTAGAACATATTTATAAGACCCGGCCCGGCCTTGGTCTAAGTTGGAGTTGTGGGCTAGGGGAACTGACCACGGTGCTTTGACTTTTATTAAAAAAAAAAAAAACTAAAACATGTCATATTGGTAAAAAAAAAAGTGCTTTTCCATTGACCCAGTATAGGTTAGGCTCCAGATTGACCCGCCGGCCATGCCAAGTATTTTAATAATGATTTAAAGCAATTTCTCTTTAAATTGAGGATTGAAGAAACTTTACCTGATTGGATTGCGTAAAAATATACACGTATATGCTGGCAAAGCAGTCAAATCATTCACAACCTCAAAATCAATGATTCCTGTTTTCCAGATTCTGATCATGAATCTAATTATAGTTTTATGAGTAGACACTCCCCATCCCCTTTCCCTGGCTCTCTCTCTCTAGAAAATGCTAGACTATTGTTTTCTTAGGAGAAATGTAGTATGCAAGCAGAAAACGAAAAATAAGAACCTTTAAATGTCAAGTTCATATTTACCTTTCACTTCCATAGATACTCATCAAAGACATACTCATATGCATGCGTGATGTATCATGCTGAACCTTGTAAACCGTTCATTCATTTGTTTTGTAAGTATTATGAACTGTGTCCACAAACTGCAATAACTGAGATATTGTACCTTTGGTCGGAAGTACAGAGGAAGATCCAAAAAAACTGCATAGTTCTCTGTAATTGCAAAGTCATGCATCATGATGGGGTCTGATATTGTTATTGGTACAGGGTCATGCATGACACCATCCTTTGAAATGACTCTGTATGTCACATATGGTGGTTCATGTGAATACCCAAAGGTAAACATCTCTCCTGCAAGAAGGGATTTTTTAATGTTAGTGCTCCACTTCAGTAAAACTAGTTGCTGAATTTCTTTTCACGCAGTTGGACATTACCAGTGAATGGATCCACCTTTGGATGAGCAGTGAAAGAATGTTTTAGTCTTTTGTCGTAATCCAGCAGGCCAAGAGTTTGCAGGTCTCCATCTTCCATAACTTTAACTACATCTGCAAGATTCAAAGGGCATCACTCCAGTTCTCCACATAAGGACCGCAAAAGAGCACCGCACAGCTTTCTCACTCGGGAAATTCTATGATCTTCACAGAAGTAAATTAGAGAGAGAAGATGAGCTTACAGGGTTTATCAGCCTCTTGAAGTGCTAAAAGTTTTCCATTGTGATAAATGAGATTTGTATTGCCTGGAAGAGGATTGCTGACAATAAGTTTCTTCTAACACTCAATTTTATGAGGGTGGTTGATATGTATAATGGCATCTCTGGACCAAACTTCATAGCCAGCCAAAAAAACCCAACTTACCGGTCCCAATTCCATATGAGTTGTCCAATACTTTTGATTTCAGTCGAAGTATTTGCATATTAACCATAAGTAATCCAAACAGCCCCTTGAGGTCTCCAATCTGCAAATGAAAGACAATTATTAAAGTGAAAATATGCAGCAAATGGTTCATATACTCTTGATTGCCGAGCAAAACAACAAGAGGTATGAGACTATTCAAGCCTGAGAGCATCAAGTAATGTTAAAGATTCAAATTTAACTCGAGGCTCCTAACTTTGCAGCGAGATTACAATATGTACCTTATAAAATTCAAACCTGCTGTTTCTCAGGAATGATTCAGAAATGAATATAGCCAAATTACTATCTTAAGTATAAAGACAAGGCAAAGGAAAAAAATCATATAATCGCATGTGTAGGTCACAATCCATAGGTGAGTGTTCCATCCAGCCATGTAGCTTTCTTTAGAGTACATTCATCAAATATCAACCCCTTTAATTGGAGATTCTTCCCAGTGAAAGTTTTAGTTGGTTGAATGGAACGGAATTTTGTTTAAAAGAAAACCTGAGAGCATGGTACTTAATTAAAGAAGACCTATTTCTTTTAGACTGGTCAAAGAAATATAAACTCAGCTATTTCTTTTACTTAAAGCGTATAACCGGAATTTATAAACAAGAATACTGTTAGAGAACTCCAACTGCGGCAGATGGGGCATTACTCGCAATATTTATGTAACGATTAACATGTTACTCAGAGAACAGGCAGGGCATCACATACTTCCACATCCTTACTGTTACACATCTGAAATCATTCTCCTTAATATCACAACAGATATTTGAATTTTTAGAGTTGGATAATGAGAACATGGTAGCTTAGTAAGTAAACTAAAAAATGATCCCCCAAGAAATGTCACAAAATAATTCCATGTTAAATGAAACCCTTTTCAGGTGGTTTAGGACTGTACCTTCATAAACTTGGCACCTCCGAAAAACTCTTCTTGTTTAAGTCGTGATGTCCTTACAAATCGACGGACATATGCTGCCTTTCCATCTTTAATACGCATGCCATGAATCATTCTATAAATTCATTTGACAAAATAAATTAACATATTTAAAGACATTATTGACTTGGTAAGAGATACCAAGAATCCTGATGGAATGAAAGCAACACATAACACTCAGAATATAAACATTTATAAAGGAAGAAAAGGTTCCTAGAGGAAATTGGAATAACCACCCACATATAATGCAAAAGAAAACAGAATATCATGAATTTTTACACAAGGACATTATGTTTATGCATGGAAATTCCAATAGTCGGCTCCAAAATCACACAAAACAGGTCTACCATAACCATCTTCAAATAATTGTTGCACCATAAGTTGATGTCCGTGACACGAACGGCAATCAGGCCCTGTGTTCTTGCATAGAAAACCTTTTTTTTTTTTTTCTTGTATATGCATCAGAAGAAGATAGATATACTTGCAAACCATCATGAATGAATCAAACTCTATGGTAAATGAATACTTTGTTCTCAAATGAAAAATTTTGCCTGTGTGTCCTGCCTACAGAGACTCCTGTAATTATTTCTAAGGTTGTGCAGAATTTTTTAGTTCAATATTATGGTGATGCTTATGTTTGAATATACTCTGTATCCATTTCCAATATTTACCTACCAGATCGAATTGGCATACCTTATATGTATCTGTTAAACAAACATAAATGGAGCAATTACGAATAAAAAAGATGCAATGCTCACTTTAGGTGAGTTACTCGATTAAGCTTGATATCCTCTAAACATTGACTCTAACAACTTCAATGTTATGACAGGACACATAAAATCCAAGCATATCCATGAGTGATCGTAGTGAAACTATTCCAAGTAAAACTAAATAAACTATTATCGACAAGCCTGGAAAGAGAAAAAACCTTAAAAAGGAAAACACCAGGCACTTCATTCAGTCCACCACTAACAGAAAATTATGGAACAGGTATGCATTTGGTTGTTTGGGCTTAACATTATAAAGAGCATTTGGACACAGAACATAAGATGTTAGGTCAACAAAAACCATCACATCATAGGAACTGGATCGTTTATATGTGTGTGTGTTTATGTATATATATATATATATGCAGAGAGGAGTAGAGGAAAAACCATAGTCAGCAATGTATCAGTGCAACATACCCGTCTCCATCAAACCTGCACAAGCAGCCAAAAAAGGATTTAGCACAAATTTTCAACTGAACAACCGCTTCATTTTCATTTACAATGAAAAGCAAGCATCGACTTACCAATGGTATCCAGCCACAGGTGCAAACTTCGGGTTAGGACCCACCCGCACAAACTCCCCATTCATGCATTCCTAAACAAAGAAAGATTTGTCAAGTTTCACATTTCATGTCATTTCATCTTTATCGTCTGGTCTATTTTTTTTAATTTGATTTAAGATTAGTATTTTACCGTTAATAATTCTCAATATTTGTTAAATTTGAAGATTTGACTGATTATTTCTTTTGTACTACTGTACTAAGTCCTAGTATGACCAGTCATCACAACTCCATCGAGTTGGCCCAGCGTAGAAGAACTAGACCTAGCAGTGTGTTTTTGTCCAGGATCCCAGGTTCGACTCTTGCCATTGGACTTGGTTAAAGCCCATGAATTAACCGTGTGTTCTTGCTGGAAACTCTTTCCCGGAATTTTACTATTAGAATTTACTAGTCAACTTCAATGATCACGGAACTTCAAACTGCACGTGATGAATGGTTTTAAAAACTTCACACATGGACATAACGGAGACAAATTATTGACTAAAGAATATATGAATCAATTATTAATCTCTGAAATTATCATTATAATTTTATCAAATGAAACAGTGTAAACAGTAGTACTTACTGGGAGGTGCCCTTTGACAGGGAGGTCCTTAACGGGAGCAGTTTCGTCGAGAACCGGAGCGAAGTTACCAGAGAGATAATGGTGAGATTGAGAGGTATCATGCATTAAGTTCACAATCAGCTTTTCCAGGTAGTCGATGAGTTTTGAAGTCAGTCCTTTTTGCGGCTCTGGATTCCCTTCCACTATTGGGTTTCCTGCTCCGACGACGTTCTCTTGATTTTTCTCCGCCTCTGATTTCTCCGCCATTTTGGTCTCTCTTGCATCTAGTGGAGGTGGCACTAGCGACAGTAATTGCAGGAATATGCGTGTGGCTGTTCCTTTTATAGAGGAGGGGCTGTGTGTTTTTAATAATTGGTGCTCTGCAGAACACGTGTTTGTATATGGGAGGTGCGAGCACTTGGAGGAGGAAATTTTTCCTTTTTTTGTCGAAAATTGATGCCTGACAAAGAAATTTTCAAGACGTACGTGCCGGGATGATTGCCGTCCTTGACATTATTATTATTATTCGAGTAGATTAAATATATGCTCGGCAGTGTGCAGAAATAATTTTTTTATTTAAAAATATATTATAATAATGTTTTAAAATTTATTTTTAATATTAGTATATTAAAATATCTAAAAACATTTAAAAATATCTCTTAATTGAAATGAAGCATCAAAAGAGGACCTTTTTGTCTTTTCTTTTCTTAACAAGGACTGGCAAGCATCAGTGAATGAAGTTTTGGTCCTCAATGAAGGATAGAAGAACGGTACCTTTGCAAAGGAAATGTTTTGTTGATAACTTAACTGGTAAATGAACCTCCCGCGGCTTATGTTACTTGAGAAATTTTACATTATTTAAATTGTAGCCGGTAAATACTTATAAGTTATAGTTTGATTTTATTAAAATATGTGTTATATCATTAAATAATTTTAAAAAAATACTCTCTTTTAACTAACCTTTTCTCTCTTTTTTAGTAAATTTTTCTCTCTAATATATAATTTCAGACTCCATTTGTTTGTGGAAAAATAATTTTTTTTGGAAAATAAATTCTAAAAAAATAAGTTATTTTTCAATGTTTGGTTATGTAATGGAAAATAAAGTAGAAAATAACTTGTTAATATTTTATTTTTTTCAAGTTTATATTTTTGATAATATAATAAAAAATAACTTGAAAAACATTTTCCAGTAATTGATTATATCACGGAAAATGAGTTAAAAATTACTTATTAATATTTTATTTTTTTTCAAGTTTATTAAAATAACAAGGAACAAATCTTACAAATTAAAATTTAAATGAGAATTAAATTGGAAAAAAAAATAAAATTTCATAAATTATCTTAAATAAAATAACTAATAATCAAAATAATAGAGATCAAATCTAAAAAATTAAAAAATTAAAAGATAAAAAAATTAAAATAATAATAATAATAAACATTTCATAAATTATTTCAAATAAAATAAATAACAATAATGAGGACCAAATTTGATAAATAAAAATTTTTATTAAAAAATAATAAGAAAAAAACAAATAACAATTATAAAAATAGGACCAAAGTTAATATGAAAATTAAATTCTAAGGGATGAAATTGAAAAAAAAATATTCAAAACAAAATATATATAGTAATTAAAAGTTTGAGAACTAAATTTAATATAATTTGTAAATAATATGACATTGCTAAATTTTTTACAACTTCTAAAAAGTATTTTTCATTGACTCAAAGTATTTTCTATTGACTAACTTTTTTAATAGCAAATAAATATATGAAAATTTGAAAAGTGATTTTCACTAAAATCTCTTTCACTGATGGATCATTGAAATCCTAAATAGCAGTGAAAATACTAATTTTTACAAATGAATTAAAGAGTTAAATAATTATAATATATATAACTAAAATATTCTTACAATAAAAAATAAAATAAAATAAAATGTGAGAGTGCCTCCATCAAAACTTGGTGAAATAATCTTTCTTCTTTCAAGGATCAATACCATGCAATACTTGTGAAGAAAAAAGTGAAATGCGCGCACTCACGTCTATAATCTCTTAGGACTGTGCAACAGAAGTAATGGCTAGGCTATATATATTATCATGATCGTGGATTTTTTTTTCTTTAATGTCAGGATCAAGTTGTTTGTCAAATTAAAAAATAATGGGGCTCTTATTTGAATATCTTAAGGTTTAAGCAATAAATTTCATGTTCAATCAATTTTTTTTAAAATTAACATGAGTGTCCAAACTAGTTTACACGCACTATAAGTAATCTCATAGATCCTGAAATTAATGACCATATAAATCTCCAGTGATCATCATATAAGCAATCAAGAACTCGAACCTGAAACCACAGAAAAAACAAACCCCTTTGTCTCAAATTCTTTACCACTTAACCAACATCTAGATGATTATGTTCAATCAATGTTTTAAAAGCCTGTTGGTGTTCTATGTGTAGGGTGTCTCTCACGTGTCATCCATCCCTCATCACGGCATAAAAAACATGACTCTCTGTTTGCCTAATAGAGTTAGTTTTTGAATTTTAGTGGTCAAGGTTGTCAAAAATATTTTTTTTTACATGACACGGAATATACAATTTAAACTCGACTCGTAAACTCAAATCATAAAATTGTAAAATCGAAAGTAAAAATTTTTAACCAAAAATCATAAAATTAAAAATAAAATATTTTAACTAAAATCGTAAAATCACAAGTAAAATATTTTAAACAATACAAATATCTAAACATATTAAAATAGATAATTCAAATAAAAGAAAAATAAACAATACAAATATCCAAACATCTTAAAATACATAATTCAAATAAAAATTCATACATGTCCATAGTATTTCAATAACTAAAAGTTAACACACCTAAAACAAACAGTCTGTAGGTGTGTCATGTAAACTAAACATACCCTCATTACCTTTCTCTCCCTTATTATTCTTAAAATAGTCATCAAAATCATTGTCATCTAAAAGATTATTATTTTTTAGATTAACGTGGGTGTCCGGGCCAGCTTGCGCGCACCACGACTAATCCCACGGGCTCTGAAGTTAACGACCATGTAAGCCTCCAGTGGCCATCATATGAGCAACTAAGGACTCGAACCTGAGACCATAGAGGGAGCAAACCCCTTGATCCCAAGTCCTTACCACTTGGCCACTACCTAGATGGTTTCTAAAAGATTATTATTGTTATTACTAGTACTAGCACCAATATTAGAAACATTAGTGTTACTACTAGTACCAGGACCAACACCAATATTGTCAATAATATTTAACTCTAAGCTCTTTGAATTATCTGGATTGACATCATTCTAAATCTCTAAATCATCTTCAGTTCCATGACACTCCATCCAAACATCATTAAGATTTTCTTCATCATCACTTTCATCTTCTCTACCGTTTTTCCTTCGTGTTGCACTATCAATGACATCAGACAAATCAAAGTTGGATGAATCATCATGTTTCTCTCCCTCGGTTATCCAATCTTCATTAGATGAGAAATGATCAAAAACTTCACCAAAATCATTAGCTTGCTTTTTGACTTGGTTATCATTTAATTTCAGATTGCACATTACAAATACCAAGTCATT